ATTCCCTCCCCCCCCCCGCCAGGAAAAGGCAACATGCTCCGACTTCCTCCTGGTTTTTCTCTCTGCCCAGGGCACCACCACCAGGCGCAAAGAAATAAGCTCCGGCCCCTGGGCGTCTGAGCGCTCAGCCAGCGGCACTGCCCAGGCCTGGTGAGACGGGGGCCTCGAATTCACGTAGCTGCTTAAGCCAGGGGGCTGCGTGTTGCGGTTTCGCTGTGTCCAATGCTGCGTTCACACGTGGCCGGTTGGCTGAGCTACGCCAGGGTGTCTAGGGGGGGGGCCCCCTCGTTCCGGCCACGACGCGGCCTGGGGACGCTGGGACCCGGCGCCTGTTGTCGGGGCTGCCCCGCCGAGCGATGCAGAGCGATGCGCGGGCCGGACGCTGCAGGGAGCAGACCGGGAGTTGCTCTCCCAGCGACACTGCGCCCTCGGAGAGCGGCACAGCTGGCGTAGCTTTGGCCACGGATGTAGCCCAGCACACGTGTAACATGGGAGCCGATTTGCACCTGGCACCGTTACAGACAGACCTAGCACGGACTGGCCTGCCCACAGCCCTTTATTACGCTTTCCCAGCACTCTCCCGCCTCGCTGACTCCGCGCAAGTCCGCCGAAAACGCAGCCGGGGATGCCGCTGAGCTGGGAAAGCGCCTCGTCCCGGACTCCGCGCCACTCCTCCGGCAGGGGCAGCCTGGTGGGGACACAGAGCCGGAGCTGAGAGCGCGACACCCCAACCTCCCCGGAGCCTGCGTGCCGCACAGCTCGACCCAGGGCTCGTCTGCCCCCGGCCTGCCGGCTCTGGGTTCCGCTCAGGGGGCAGGGTCCAGAGGAACCCAAGCGCGCCCCTTGTGGGCCGGGTCACACGGGCTCTGTTCTGCTACCATGACGTCATTGGGGCCCCCCCGAGTGTGGGGGGCGCGTGGGCAATCTAGGGCAGGGCTCTGGGGCCGCGCGCTCACCGGTTCTGGAAGGTGTGGGGCCCAGTGGGGACACACTGCACCCGCCACTGGCCGCCCTGATCCGCATACAGCACGAACTTGATGGGTTTCTCCACCCCCAGCTCCTCCTCCAGGCTGAAGAGATGCTCCTTCCAGGGGCAGCCGCCCTGGGAGAACACCAGGATCTCACCGCTGGGGTCCACCTGCCGGGGGAGGGAGACACGAGACTCAGGAAGGGATAAGAGCTCACGCAGGAGTGAGCTATGACAGCCACAGAGAACCGGATTATTCCCAGCTCTGCCACTGACCTGCTGGGTGACCTTGGGTAAGTCACCTCGCTGCTCCGTGCCTCAGTTTCCCATCACATATCTCCAGCATGAGCATTTTGGGCAAGGACTGTCCCTGACTCCGCGTCCCTGCAGTTCCTGGCCCAACAGAGCCCTGATCCCACGTGCTACTGTAACGCCAGGGATCGGGTGCTGCTGCCCCAGGGAGGTACGGGGCAGCAAGAAACCCAGCTGCCCGCGGGAGCAGACTCGGAGTGGCAGGTGGGAACAACCACCAGCCAGGGGGATGCTGGGAGTCAGGTGCCCATCCCCAACTGGCTGCCTGGCCTCGTCTACAGGGTGGAGACTTATTCACTCCAGCCGGGTCTCTGGACCCCGTGGGCCTGGAGAGTCCCGCAGGGACGGGATATGGATTATCCCTGGAAACCCAAGCTGGGGCCCTAAGCCAACCCCCCCTCTTCCGCCCAGGGCAGCTCTCAGCTCACCATTCAGCCCAAAGAGCAGTGACCAGCCCTGCCCACCCCGGGATCCCCTCCCCCAAGCGCCGTCACAG